TGTGTGGCTTGGGATCAAGGGTTGAAGAGTTGCTCAACCCCACATTGATCCATTTTGTATCAGGTTTCTGAGGAATTCTTCAATATATATATTTGGATTATGCAGATTTTTCTGAAGAGAATTACATATAGACATAAAATAATGTAACAGTTCATTTCTCCTGCTGAATAGCATTTTCTAATATGGGAATGATATTAATGCTGACAGTGTTAAAGATGCACTTAAATTCATTTACATTAATCTAGAACAAGCATAAATATATATATATATATATAATGATCATAATTAAATTCTTTTTTCTGTTTTGATTGCTTCAGTAGTATTAACAATATCATTTTCCTCCAAGTTTTTTTTTTTTTCAACTTCCTGATCATCTTTCTTTACTTGACCAAGATTTTCAAGTAATTTTCCAGGTTCTTTAGATTTCTTTCCCAATGTCTTACCCACTAAACCATCGCTGACTTGGGATAATTATGAGGGATGCTTTATATCAGTTGCATTCTTTTTTTTTTTTTTTTTTAATAAAAAAATAAAAATTAGGTTTAGTGAACTTACTAGAAAAGAGAGTAGAAAATGTGTTACCCAAAACTTGAAAGTTTTGTTTGATTAGACTGAAGTAGGAGCAAAGTGAACAAAAAAAAAAAAGGATGATGTGGAAATATAATTGGGTAAGGAATTGTATTATAATAATAATAGGTTCAAACTACCTTGGTGGTGAGACGTTAAAACAAGTGATGAAAATTTAGTGGCTTAACTTACTTTGCATCATTTGGATTAGCTTTGATTAGATTTAATATTTGACTAAAAATTAAATTTCTTGTCAGCTTCTAATAAAAGATTCAATCCACACCATAAGAAAAAAAAAAAAAATCTTACTTGAGTTTTAAGGTGTTTTCGGTACCTTCGGTCACATAATTTTGAATTTCAGGCTTAGGGTTGCTAACGTTATTAAAGATTTGCTTACGAGCAGACTCTCCCTTATCAAGTTGCTGTACTATTAAATCTATATGTTTTACAATCTCAGAAGAGTTGGTTCCCATGTGAGTCACAATGTCTAATTCTTGACCCAAAGACATCATCACTATAAATAATTTATGAGCAGCTTTCTCGGCAGGAGAAAGTATCCTTTCAATCGACTTTTCCGGAGTTGTTATTGCTTGATTCTCATCTAACAAAGTTTGTCGGGGACCTAGTCTTTGAGAAAATCCACTTCGCTTCTTCAAATGAATATCCTCCATGAAAATTAAGGATGAGTAAGCTAAGGTAAAAGAAATGAAGAAGCTTAAGAATACCATAAGACTTTTGTATAACAGCATCTTAAATTATAAATAAAGGTTTTTTTTGAAGAGTATTTGTAATTGATTGTTTCAGGTTTGAAGAATGAATTCAATTTGATATGGTTAACAAAGCGACAAAATTATTAATCGAAGTTTTTCAATAGAAGTTTTCAATAGTACCGGATTATAATGAAGGTGCTTTTGAAGAGAAATGAAGACAGTCGGTTTTGCAGTCGTTTATTTGATTTGACAGCCTAATTATTTTTACATTTCCACGATGTGAAGGTAACCGTGACTTGTAGTCCCGGAAATCATGTTCTTCTTCTCCATCAAGTAACCAACCGAGAAGCCCTTCTTGACGCCCTTATCTTTGGCTTGTAGGCCGTATCACGAGTACCCTGCGAATGCCAAACCCACGGTTTCAAGGCCAGGATGGAACAGTCGCCTTGTATA